TTTTCAATTCATTTTCAACACATATAAATTAACACAACTAAACTAGCATAGGAATCCATCCAAACACTCTCTTCACCCCACACTTAAAATTATGCATTGTCCCAAATGCACACCCATAAATACAAGAGGGTAAAAATAAACTCCCTGATAGACCATAGGCCGAAGCATTAGCAGCTCATGGGGTACTCAGACTTCTCCCAAACTTGATTCTTTGTGCGGGCACCTCACACTCAGTTCTCACCATCTCACTTGCTTTGCTTTATTCCAATGAATTTTCTTCCCATGCTCCTAGAAAATAAAAAAGCGACACTACAAAAAACATTTTTTTTTAAAAGCAATAAAGCTGGGTTGCCTCACAACAAGCGCTTGATTTAACATCGCGACATGACGCGAATTACTTTTTGCCTCCACCTCGAGCTTATGAATTGAACCCCAAGTTTTGATTCAACTTTTCGATTATGCTCCAAGGGTGGTGGAACAAATCTAACTACCCAAGAAAATAATCTAGCACTCTGCTCTTCTTAGTCTTTGCATGAGGTATGTAATCCTGACTTTCTGATAAGAAGAGTTTCAGAATGTAGGCACCTTGTTCCTCATTCCTTGACTCCTCAATTGGCTCGGATGACTCTATTTCTATATCATCATCCAAACACAATGTGGAAAAATTCTTGGAGTGTGGACTAATACGCTCAACTACATGAATCTTGGTATAGTCAACATCCTCAACACCAATGGCACTAGAGTCAACTAAATATGTATCCTCAATGTCCTTGGTTGACTCTAGTATCTCTTCTACAACATCAACATCTTTAAATTTTAGCTGGTTAGAGTGTTGGTGTTCTACTTTGGACCCCTCCATTGGTACCTCAATATTTATCTCTAATGCACACAGCTCTTGGCTACTGTCCATAATATTAATATATTGAGCATTAAAAGTTTCAACTAGTTGACTCACTTGAGCCTCCAAGTTGCGAATAGTTGCATCTTGCCTTTGTATCCGCAGATGTGTCTCATTATTGTTTTTCACAAGGCACCTTAGCATATCCTTGATCTCTTTCAGGTTGTCATCCCCAGGTTCTTTGTTCCTGTTAACCTCACAAGAAAAAGTAAAACCATCATAGTAAGGGGTTTGGGGAGAATAAGAAATATAATCACAACCATGAAAGTGACCATCTTGACCACCACACATATTATACACATTCCACACATAAGATTGAGTTGGTACACATAACTCGCACTCGAAAATATTTTGATAATTTTGACATAAGTGATTTCCTCTACAATATGCATAAGGAGGATCAAAAGTAGAAGTACGAAAATCAAACTCTCATTATTCCAAGATGTCATGTTTCTCAAATCAACAAGTAAAACAAAAATAAAAAAAAATTAAATACTAGAAAATAAAATAAAAGTTCAAACTTGAAACATAGAAATAAGTACACCTACATCTACACCGTTAGTTCCCCGAAAATGGCATCAAAATTTGATCATGCCCAACTCTAGTCCTAAAAGGGATAAGCGGTCACTGCAAATATAATCCGGTCTAAGAGTCCGCAGTCGAATCCCACAGAGAACTAAGTTTTAGCTACAACTTTTCATTATTACCAAGAAGACAAACTTGAACAATTTCTAAGTTATTAATATTAAAATTCTTATGTCTGACAAATAACAAATTAAAATAGTAAATTAACAACTAAAGATACTAAGAGTTGGAGACAAGATTAAGGAGGTCTAGAGTTATGATTTTCCTAATTGCCGGAATCATTCCCGCTACGTCTCCTATAATTTTGCCTAATTATTCTCTACTAATCGTGAGCACTTCAGGTGTCATAATTTACTAGACATATTCTTCCGAACTACGCTAGCTGGCACAATCTCACCGCTCACTATGACCACGTCAAGGCTTTGTTATTCCTAAACCCACCTTTAAACCTGCCGTATTGCTTCCTCATATACGTTAGGAGTGACGTTGTTCAACAACTGCCTAAATATGTACCCTTTTCTAAGTAATACATAATAAATAGGCACAGTCAATTGATGGACATTCAATCAACAAAAATAAGTACGTAGTTGAACAAGTAAAGAAATTCAAAAGCTAAATTATATTCAAAATTAACAAGAATTCATCCTCCAAAAGGTTCTATCAAAACCATAGATAACAAATTAACTATTCATAATAGTATGCAAAACTGCAATACTAGAATTCATAACTAATAATGGAAAGAGAGGAAGAAAGAGGGAAAATGTGGAGTTGAATCCTTCTCCTTGCTCCAAGTGTGTTCTTACCTCCAAAGGTGTTGTGTAACCCTAAAGTAGTGTCTCCTCCTCCAAAAGTTTGTTTTAGGATGTATTTATATGGCCTAGGTAGGGTGGAGGGCCATCCAAGGCAATCCAAAATCGGATAGGAGAACTGGAGGGCGCGTCTGCCTTCGCGCAACGTGCAACCATAGACGCGGACTTAGCTTTTGCAATTTTTCAGTTCATGAAGCGATCCGTGCCTTCGCTTCGCTTCGCTTTTTTATGCCTTCATTTTTCTCCTTATATAGCATCCATTTTTGTGCCACGCACGAGATTGGACGAGCTCCCAATTCTTTCCATCTCTTCCTTTTTGTGTCAAATTATCATATTTTGATCATTTATCATCCAAACTCGCTCCTACACATAAGAAACACATAATGAGCATATTTCATTTCAAAAATCACATAAACTCTCGCAACTCATACAAGAATTAATATGCAAATATATACTTAAATATACACTTTTTATTATTTATCATGTACATGTAACATACATATTAATTTTGTTTTTGCTAACGAATGTTATTAGTTTCGAACCCAGTTAATTTTGTATTTTTCTCTTAAAATATGAATGACCCAACCCAACTTACCCAATATCTATATACATATATTAAAATAATACTAAAAGTGAATCTTTTTCGTACAAAAATCTTAGTCCGGAATGCATGAGAGTTTAACCAAAAAGAATAAGAAATAAAAGGTATAATTAGAGAGCATTTGAAACAAAAATGACATCAATTTGAATGAAAATATTGAAAAGAAAATAAAAGATAGAAATATCGTGTTTTGAAGGATTCACTTTTAGTATTAGTTTAACTTATATATGGATTTTGGGTCGGCTGAGTCTAACCGGGTTGAGTCATTTCTATTTTAATATGGTTATTATTTATTATACTAAAAATAAAAGATAAAAAAAGTGAAATAAGAAAATACTACCGAAAAATTATATTTTCCGATCAGTATGATTTTTGTGTGAGTTAGTAAAAATTTCATGATTTTTGTGTGAGAAAATAAAGTTATATAACTTTCATGAAAAAAGAAATCATATTTATATGACTATTTGTGAAAGGAACTTTTTCGTACATATATGAGATTTTAAACTTATTTACCGATTTTTCTAGGTTTTCCTATTTACGAAAAGCAACTAATATTTTTTACAAAATATAAATAAATCTGGTCAAAATCTACAATATATGTACAATTTATCTACAACTTAAATATAAATTTTTTGTACAGAATTCGATGAAAAATTATAATTTACGTACAATTTATATACAACTTATATACAATTCGGTTAGTTGTATATATTTTATATGTCGTTTCTACACCTGAAATACAAAATATATTGCAACTTGTTTAAGTCTTCTTCTTTGAGTTTCAAAATGAAATTCTAACCAAAACAACTCGAGTCATCACTCAATTCTCTCAAAATTGAGATATAAACTCTAAATAATATTTTTAATTATTTGTAACAACACCCAATCCAAACAAATATCAATTTCACAAATTTCGAGTTTCGAAACTTTTTTATGGTTATCAATGATGTTTTTAATGGATTAAAATGGTTCCCAATTCAATCTACTCTGCTTTTCATTAATACTATTTAGTTTATTGATTTCAATAAACTAAAAAAAATTTACTTTGAGATATTAAGCTAGCATCCTGAATTAAACCAACAAATCATTAGAGTACAAGAAACTGAGCGTTACAATTTGAAAACATAAAGTGGATTGAACTGAATTAATTGCAATGTTCTAACTTCTCTATTTATATAGTACAATTAATTTAAATATTTAGTATTTGGATAAAAAAAGGTTTGATCTTTGTTTTGCTTTGAATAGTTGCTTTGATTTAAGTTGGAATAATAAGAGTATGGTGTTTTAATGGTATGAGAAGTTTGCAGTCCCCAAGGAAGAAGGCGAGGGCGGAGATACCTTTCTAATAGTACTTTATAAAATTTTGTATATAAATAGTAAATTGTATATGCTAATATAATTGAGTGATAATCTCTCTAAGAGGGATAAATAAATTTATAATGTGGTATTAATAAGTAAAAATCTCATTGTGAAATTTACCCCTACAACTAGTTACTTATTATCTTTTGTAGGTTTCAAAGACATCCTTTGGTGTAGGAGTTTGTATGTGATTGACTTTCAAATGACATGATAGTGTAAATGTTTTCTATAGTGTCGGCAAAATAGAAAGTCTATGTGTCTTGAGCAAACTTTTCGAATGAACCCTCAAAAAATCTGAATTGCTTAAAAGAACGTCACATTAGCAACACATTACTAAGGTATTGAATTGTTTAAGTAGTTTTGAAATTTTTACGCTAATGGAGGATAAGTTTGTTACATGCCATATACCATCGCATATCCTCTTATCCCCAAAGGATCATCTTGTACTAAATTTCTTAAAGTCAATTTTTGAATTGTATAGGTATTAACGCGTTCATGTGATTATATTCTCATATCATAGCCTGAGGATATATAACAAATGTATCATAAAAGGAAGTTTCGTGGGATTCGATAAATACGCACTAAATTGGATACTTTTCTACGTATGTTTCCCAACAAAAAAAATGGTAAAGGAAGAAGAAGAAGAAAGAATTATCTTATCAATGCAAATATCTCTTTCATTTAGTTAATATATCAAATCTTTACATCCGAAAAAAGAAACAGCTGATATATCACTGCACGCTCTTTTAGGATTTGATAGGTTTCCACTTCTTCAAGAAAACAAACTCAACGTAACAAATAAGTAGATCTTTTGGCTTTGAAAGAAACAGACCTCCCTTGGCCATTTCTCCTTATAAGAAAACCAAGAGTCACATCTACACTCACATTAACTTAGCAAAAAACTCAAAAACCGAAAATGGCATCTTCAGAAACATCAAAACCTTCATTTCCCATTAAAACAGTAATAGTTTTAGTTCAAGAAAATCGCTCATTTGATCACATGTTAGGTTGGATGAATACCCTAAACCCAGAAATCACTGGCCCAACAATAGGAAAAGAATCCAACCCAATATCCACCTCGAACCAAAATTCCAGTCTCGTTTACTTCGGAAACAATTCCCTTTACGTAGACCAAGATCCAGGCCATTCAATCCAAGACATTTATGAACAAATATTTGGGGTCCCATGGAGTCAAGACTTGGCTAACAAGAAACTTGAACCCGCCATGAAAGGATTTGCTCAAAATGCAGAGAGAAATCAAAAGGGTATGGCGGAAACTGTTATGAACGGGTTTAAACCTGCTGCTGTGCCTGTTTACAAAGAGCTTGTGACGGAGTTCGCCGTTTGTGATCGGTGGTTCGCGTCCGTTCCGGCATCAACCCAACCCAACAGGTTGTTAGAGACGAATTTAGAATTTGAATTTATGAGTTTAACTTATATACACTAATATTTTAAAAAATACTTACTACTATTAACCTTATTTTCAAGGTTAATAATTTCTCCTTTTATGGATGGTTTCATGTTAGGCGATGACGTTTGAAAATAATGGTTTTTATGTTCTGAAATCTTTGAAAATATGAATTCGTAACTAAATATTCCGTACTAATTTTCAAATATATATACCTCTGATTTATGATTTAAAAAATATGATTGAAATTAGAAGTGGCACCTAACACTGTCTATGTACGTACGTCCGCATTTTGGCGAATAGGTTGTTTGTGCATTCGGCGACGTCACATGGGCTTACCAGTAATGATACAAAGCTGTTGATTCATGGATTACCTCAGAAGACTATATTTGATTCAATGGATGAGGCTGGCTATTCTTTTGGTATTTACTATCAATACCCTCCGTCCACTCTTTTTTACAGGTACGAAATTTGTTCTTTGTTACATTTTTCGACATAATATTATCATTTTCTTGGCGGGTTTAAATGTCCCACAACTACGTACCACCTGTTACTCAACCATCTTATCAACAACCACCAAAGGATGTGGTGCATTGAACGGGGCTGCTCTTCCCTTAACTAGAGATTTCGAGTTCGAGTCTTGGATATAAAAAAATTCTTGGTGGAGACCGTTTTCCCCCGAATGAGACCCTACACGATGCAAATCCGGATATAGTGTCGGACTGGCTCCAATACGGATACGATGGAAAACCCAAAAAAAAAACACAATCTCATCAACATATTATTTCTTTAATCGTTAATCATCAATTACTAACATTGACCAAGTCGATTTTGCTTAAGTTTGATAAGCAAAATTCCTACAAAAAGGTACGCAATTAATAAAAGATTTCTACCCATAGAAAAAAGGGACGAATGATCCTACCATTAAATATCTTTCCTACTTTCTATATCAACATCAATTTAGCATCAAAAATAAGTAAACTATAGTTTTAATGGTTTACTCCCTCCGCTTCAATTCATGTGACATAGCGTGACTTGATATGGAGTTTAAAAATATAATAAATATTGTTGAGACTTATTATCTTAAATATATCATAGTATGTGTGGTTATAAAACTTTTAAATTTATAACATTAAATATGTCATTATATTTGTGTGGTTGTAAAATATTCTCATTAAACGTAAAATAAGAAATGTACAATTATTTATTTTCTAATATAAAAAAGTGTCATTCCTTTTGTAACGGACTAATAAGAAAATAATATCAGATAAACCTAAAAAATTAGAGTATTAGATCCATCTATAGATGCAGTTTTTTTATTAGTTTTAATTTTGAGAAAGATATTGATTGTAATGGAGGAATTTTAAGATTGATTAGATCTGTACTTGGAATTACAAAAAAGTTACATTTTCTTTTATTTTTGCAAGTATTTTGAATCATTCTCTTGGTTATAACAAATAAAAGAATCTTCTAACTCCTAGTTTAAATTGGATAAACAGTTGTCGAGAAAAAATGGAAATGCACCAATACTAGAATTTTAGATTGACAATTTTAAAAGAGATTGAAGCTGCCGTCACGAATGGAGAACTTCATGGAAGCCCATGATCTCATTAATATCCAACAGATATTGTCTAACGGATATTTTGTTACGTTACTCTCGACCCTCAACAGCATATTCTCCTAATGTGGGGATACGTCCAACTGGTCCTTTTGCTGTTACGCCCCTCCTTTCTTTAAAAAATAACGGTTAAGGGTCATATTTGTCCATATACTCTTTAAAAAGTGTTATATTTGTCATTTATTATACTTTTTTGATATATTTATTCTTATCGTTATACTTTAGGATCATTTTTGCCCCTGTTCTCTTCAAAATGGGTTATATTTTGCTTTTCGTTATACTTTTTTGACATATTTATTCTTACAATTATACGTTTAGATTATATTTGCCGCTCATCCGTTAGATCGTCATGTCCCACCTTTGTTTTCCTATATGGCGCATATGTGGATTTCTTTTTCTTCCAATTTAAATATGGTCACCTATTTAAGATAATTTAACCCGCTCATCCAATTTAAATAAGACTTCATTAACTCCATTATTGTACAACTTCTCGTAATTTACTTTGGTTGATGCAATAATTGTGAGTTCTATTAGATTAGTGATTTTGAGTTTAAAGTTATTGTTTGCCAATATATTGTCGCTGCTACATCGCTATTGTATTTCGTACTATCTTCGAAAATGCCGTATCAGGAAATTACTTTTCGTGGATCAATCATGGTCAATTGACCAAGTTTAGACTTTACAGAGTAGTATCTCTAACAAACACTTCAAAACATCATTGAGCGATTCATATCTCCTTACTCCTAAGTACTAAAGGGAAACAAATTAACATAGACAAAGGTGAAATAATTGAATAAATCAATTATAGATAACACTATAGTTTCATTCACTCACTGTCCAGAATTTTCTCGCTCTCCGAAAAATATGGAGCTGACCCGGAAAAGAGAGATGGACGAGTG